CCGAGGTGTTACTTTTAACGATGAAATATGTACATCACATTGAGAGTACTCATGTTTATATCTTGCAATATTCTTAGAACAACAAACGTTGTTAACTTCTTGTTTATTGGCTTACGCCTATGTTATATATAAATCCGTGTTGAAAGAGCCTCGCTGATTGGAGTCGTCAACTGAATCCAAGTCATTCTCCGTCTGTTCCTTTCACCGAAGTGCAGTTCTTTTTCTTCCTCTGCTTTCACCAGCGAGTACGACATCGAATAATTTTTATGTCGGCTGAACCAGTCGTGAACTCGATGGGACCCGTCTGTTATCCATGGACGACCCGGTTAATGCGAGATGTTTCAGTATTCGAGGAGAAGCACAAGTATTATATTAAATAGGTCAAGAAGCCGTATTATCTCTGCATCGATGCGAATGAAATACATATATTTTTGAGTGCTCAATTGTCAAACTAAATGTAATACTCTCGAAAGGATAGTTGGACCTCTAAATGCAGATATTTATTGCCATTTCAGTTATGCTTAAAAGGAAAATAAGTTGGAAAAATGTAAAAGAGCTTACAAAATAAGTGAGGACCAAGCCTCACTATGAGAAAAACGTGAATTATTCCCTGAGATAATAAGAAAACGGTTTCAAAGTGACCGACCGATCCTTACGGAAGACTTTTTAGTGGCCTTCAAGTGGCGTATATTACTGTTATCACGGCAGTAGAGGATTTTCTTCTGTTCAACCGCAAAAATGTTTTATTTTATTTTACATATTTTAATTTAAGTTAATTCAATTATTATTATATTTTACTTTGCTTCATTTTACATATTTTAATTTATTATTTTGGTTTTTATTACCTTGCTTTCTTTCATTTTTTTCGTTTTGTTTTATTTTATTTTGTTTCAGTCTATTTTTTATTTTATTTTTTATTTGATTTTATTTTTTTTTAATTTATTCTCTTAGTTTTAGTTATTTTTGTATTTTATTTTTCAGTTTTTTAATATTTTTAATTTTAATTTTTTTCAATATTTTTTAATTTCTTTTTATTTTTTCCAATATTTTTTAATATCCTTTTATATTTTTTTAATATTTTTTAATTATATTTAAAATTTTTTTTTTTAAATTTTTTTAAATATTTTTTTTAGTTTTTTATTGTTTTTAATTTTTTTCTTAGTTTTTTATTGTTTTTAATTTTTTTTAATTTTAATTGTTTTAATTTTTTTTAATTTTTTATTGATTTTATTTTTTAAAATATTTTAATTTTTTATTTTTAAAATTATTTTTTTTTTTATTTTTTTTAAATTTTTTTAATTTTTTTAAATTTTTTTATTTTTTTTTTATTTTTTTTATTTTTTTTTATTTTTTTTTATATTTTTTTTGTTTTCTTTTATTTTTTTTTTTTTTCTTTTCTATTATTTTTTTATTTTATTTTATTATTTTTTTATTTTATTTTATTTTATTATTTTTTTATTTTATTTTATATTATTATTTTTTTATATTATTTTATATTATTATTTTTTTATTATATTTTATATTATTATTTTTTTATTTTATTTAATTGATTATTTTTTTATTTCATTTTTTACTTTTTTATTTTCATGAATTTAATTCAATTTAATTTATTTTGATTTTACTTTCTTTAGTTTAATTTAATTTTATTTAATTTAGCTTAATTTTATTTCATTTCATTTTTTTTTTAAATTACCTTATTTTATTTCATCTTATTTTTTATTTTTTATTATTTTACATGGTTTTAGTTTATTTAATTTAAGTTTTTGCTTAATATAGTTTTATTTTTTTACTTAATTATTTTTTGAAGATATTTTGTTTTCTTTTTTCTCGTTTTTTATTTTTTTCTTTTTATTTTTTATTTATTTGTTTCTATCTTATTGTATTTTAGTTTTTCTCTTTATTTTTTTTAGTTTGTTTAATTATTTTATTTTTTATTTTATTTCGTTTTATTTATTTTATTTCATTTATTATTCAAACAACTTTTTTCATTTCGTCTTTTATTGTGTTTTTTTTTCTTAAATCTATTAAATCTATTGCGCAAAAGCATTTTTATTTTAGCATGTTGTTGACTTTTTAACTCTCACTTAAACTTTAATCGATCCGTATTAATGCTGATCTAAATACAAGTTTTCCTACATTCATATGTACCCACATTCATACATACATATCTACATATGTATGTATGTACGTATCTACATTCACCTATATACTAAAGTACAAGTAGTAAGTAGATATGACGTTATAAAGAAATATCCCTTTCACAAAAATTCGTACGCTTACTGCTATCTAAATATTATATATGTACATACATACATACAAGTCTGACTACGCAAAAAAAGCATGAAATAAAGTTGTATAGACTGGTGTGGAGAGTGAAGTAAGGTAAAGTGAAGTGATGTGAAGTGAATTGGTTGTGTGTTTATGAATGTACATATGTATGTATGTGCTCCCCAACATGCAGAATTCACCTTTTCCGTGCCATTTCAAGCACACACACATATGTACATACATATATGTATATATGTCTGCATATGCAGCCAGACAAATGTTTGCATGCATGTACACATACGAAACGAAATACATATGTATATCTGTGTGTGTTATATTAAAACTATTTTAGAAAATGCTAAAAATTAAATAAAAGTTAACTCTATTGCATGCATATAAATAAAAATGTATGTATGTATCTTTTTGTATGTACAAAAATATTATATATTATAAAATATAATATATGAAAGAGCATAACATAATTATAAGTTAATACGTAGATACATAACTGTAATACTTTTGCTAAAGCGGCAGATACATATAAAATATACATATGTACATACACACTCTCAAGCATTTCTTAAAAAAACGTGTCTTGTCGGAGTTTTTTAATAAACAAAAGGGGAAATGAAAATCGCCGTAATTTTTCTATATATATATTTCTCCTTGTACAATACATAAATATGTATGTACATACATACATACGCATATACGTATATAAAGCATACATATATATTTAACATACAAACGTAGTAAATACACTCCCTTTCACAAAAAGCTCCACCGTCACAGCGCGTCAGTTGTTTTTAGTTGCGCTTGCTTGTCTGTTTGTTTGTCTGCTTGTCTACTTGCTTGCTTGCTTGCTTTGCTAACGGCGGCGGCCAGTTTATGAAACTTTTTAAAGCTTCTTACTGACCTAAAAAATATGTGTATGCGTGAGAGATACAAGTAAAAATGCCGTTGTATTGGATTGGAGTAGAGTGAAAACGCTGCAAGCTAGCCACTAAGCGAAGCAAGCAAGCAAGCAAGCAATCTATCTGTGTAGCTAGCGAGCTGATGTTGTTGTTTACTTTTGTTGTTTTTTTTTTATAATTTCATTTTTGTATTTCTACTTCGTCCAACAACGATCAGTAAGCAGTAGACCAACTAAACAGCCAACAAGCGACCAAACGATGGCCGAGCAACACTTCAATGACTTTTTCCGCCCGAAATACAACATTTTCCATACTGAAACATACACATGTGCACGTGCATAGACAAAAGCGATCACTTTCGAGTTTCGAGTTTCGAGTTTTTTAACCAAATGGCAGCAGCAGCAAAAGCTAAGCTACGAGATTGCATTGGTTGCAAAAACAAATATATTTACATATGTATGTGGGACTATATGTATGGCAGTGTATATATTGTACATACATATACATGTACATTTATGAATGTTTTCTTTTTGTTGTTTTGAAAACTACTTGCAGCACATTGTTTAATCTCTTCAAAAAGCAAGCAACGAGCCTTCAAGCTCTTGCTTACATATACATATATATACGTAAATATATATGTATGTATGTACAGATAGAGTAGAGTCATAAATTGTACATACAAATAGACATATTTAAGTAAGACAGTGTGAATATGTATATGCAACTTTTATAAATATATATATATATATACATATGTCTGTTTATCGCTTTATATATAATATTGTATACAGTAGTATATACATATGTATATGAAGGTATGTTTGTAGGCTTGCATGTAAATGCAAACCATTCACCATAATAAAATAAAAACTCCTTCACACACTACACATACACAACGGAGCATAGCACAGCACAACAGCAACAACAACACAAGCCGAGTGCGCATAGAGCCACCGATCGCATAGTGAAAACACTTTTGTCTTTTCGTTTTAATTTTTATTGTTATTTTGTATTGCGTATTTTTCGTTAAATTTTTTTTTTTTAATTTTTTTTTACGCTTCTCGCTGTTGCTGTTATTACTGTTGTTGTACCTATTTCTTCCACTTTAACTACACAATTTCTTATGCATAGTTAAATGAACAGAAAAATAGCAATGAGCTGGCACAATATAAAAGTCTTGTTGGTTATATTTATGTATGTATGTTTGTATGTACGTAAGTACACATGTACGTTTGTGTGAATGTTCCTCTACAGCTATTTAGTAGTTTATTATGGCTTAGTAAGTATAATCGACAAAACGTTAAAAATGTGTAAATTGTTTGGATATATAATTTATATATGTACAATGCACATACATATGTATGTATGTAAGTAAGTATGCTTGGTGGGCTTGAAGGTCATAGAAACAAGCCTTTCTAATAGGTTTGTACTTACAAACATACAAATAGATTTTCGCACATTTACATACATTAACTGGCCATTGTAGTTAGATGTAGCGTAATTTCTAGGCTATTTCGAAATAATAAGGAACATGAAAACATAAAAACAACCATGCATACATACACGTACATATTTACATATGTGTGAATATACGTGCATATGTATGTGTCCATGAATGCAAGTCAACTCTTACATTCTCCAATTTTCCTACATTACTTTTGCATAATGTTGCATTAATGCCGATGTTAAGTCATGTCTATGTGCATATGTATATATGTAAAAATGTATTCTTGTATATTAGTATATACAGCCTAGAGGTGGACACTTTTTATATATGTATGTACATAAATATAATTTTTACTAAATATTTGTATTTACCTGTCGCATGAAGAAGTAGGCAATTGAAATACTTTAATCCAAAATAGCGGTAAAATTATTTAATTAATTAATTGATTGAAGAAATGCATAAACGAAAGCAAAAAAAAAAAACAAACAAACAAAAATGTTGTATGTATGTGCACAATCATATGTATACTCGTCGTACATATAAATACACTACTAGTAGTCATTTATGCATTGATGTTTGTATATACAAATTTTTGCTGCTGCTTCTTCTTTTACATATATTGTATATGCATATCAGCAGCCGTCGTACATATGTATTATTGCATTACTATTTAGTGCACACACTTAACACAGTTCCATAAATTTCCAATGGGCACAAACAAACACACACACGCACGCACGTTCGTTGCTTGGTTGGTTGGTTGGTTGGTTGGTTGGATGAATTGATGCTCGCTTGTTAGCTTTGTGTATACATAAGTATGTATGTATGTATGTAGATTTAGCTCGCTGGTATCTCTTGCAAATCACACTGCAAATGCACTTTCTATAAATTTTCCAAAAACTTTATTGGTAGGTACTTTTGAACAGCTTCAACAGCTTTTTTTATTATTATTTTTTTTTTAGTAAAATTTTGGTTTCTTAGAACAAGCGGCGTGTGGCAGTTATGTAGAATATTTAAATTTTTATTTGTTTACTTCGCCGTTTGCGCAATGTTTCTGTACGTGTTGATTTTTAAAATTTTTTTCTTTTCATACATACATATGTATGTATATCTATATTTTGTTGTTCTTATTCTTATTTTTATAATTTTTCATTAAACTTCAAAGTACATAAATTGTGTTTATATTGCTGCAATCGCATTATTACGAAATATTAATATTTATTTATTACAAAAAACAGGCAATGAGTAGAAAAAACTATAATAGTAGTATGTACATACATATGTACGAGTAGGTAAAAATAAAAAATTAACTTAAATGAAATCCGACAAACTGCACAGCGTGAATATTTCTCAGATGTGCTTTACTAACTATCATTTCACGTACTGAGTACACATTTTCAACATTATTACTAAATGTGCTCGATAGACACACAACTTTTAAGCCAACAACAATTACAACAACTTTATAATACTTTTCAATTTAAATATACAAGTATATGTACTATGTATATACATACACTCCCGTAGATTAGTATGTGGTACCACTACTTGCAGTAGACCGTCCCTTTCACTTGCTTGCAATTTTCATATACCAGTTTGTCCAATTGTATTTGTACAATATCTCTTTCCTCTGCCATATTCTTCAGTGATCGCTACTCATATACAACAAAAACCATAAAGCTACTGCAATACATACACAACATACATACATACATACATAGGTATGTGCAATGATCAGAGAATTTCAACATACTATTTGTTGTGCTTTTACATTTAAAGAAGTATGCGTAGTGAAAAGCTTCGATACGACGGTCTACGAGCGAACGAGCCAAAGAGTCAAAGAGCGTCCAATTTGCTGTACTCATCAGCGCCAGTGTATAGTTTATTGTCATGTATGTACATTTGTACATACATATGTATTTATAGTTGATGTCGGCCTCGACAGCTGGTTAGTTATTAGTAAGCGCGAGTCTCTTCTTCCGTCAATAACAACAACTCAAACAACTTTATTGTGCAGAGCTTAATTAGCTTTCCATCCATTTTCACCACACTTGAACTGCTGTGCGTGGGTAATTTTGTTATTGCTGTTGTTGTTGGTGCCATTTTCAGCTTTATGCAAATTGGAGAAACTTTCCGTATACACAAATAGTAATAGATATTATTGTGTGAAACACCCGTTTGCGTTTAGCGTAAGATTTCCTAAGGCCGTTGGTAGGTAATGCAATGATAGCGTCTGCTATATTGTTGCCGTTTCTCCGCAGCATGCTTGGAAGTAAACGTATTCACAATAGTTACGCAGAGCTTTCGCTCTTGTTGCTGTGCTGGTGGTGGTGGAGTAAAACTCACCACTGAGCTTTGTTTTTGCAACATCTGCGGAGCTTGTGCAGAGAACTTATAATGTTATAACTTATACAGACGAGTCATTTCAATTCAACTTAACTTAACTTTTTTTACACCAATGAGTTTTAATGAAATTAAAAGAATCTGCAGCCTGATATTTGCCAGGAAACAGCAAGGTTCTGTCGATTTCAACCCACCTGCCATAATTTATTATTGTGATCGTTATGAAGTGTCCATAAAAATAAATGTTGTCATCCGAGGCTACCTTAGATTTTTCATTTGAGCTAGATTATACGTGGCACCTCTTTAGTAAGACCTCATTGGAGTCTTATCCCGAAGCGATTTTCCTCCAATTTATGGTGTACGTCCTGATGCTAAGTCGCCTGCGAACGGCTGATGGTTTTTTATTTCATGTCAGAAGTATACTCGAAGCGGTTAGCATTTCCTGCCGAATATTTTATTTAAATTCATTTTCTATAACTTTTGGATGTTGATCGGACTTACGCAATGTTAACCGTACTTTCACAAGAGTTAATCACACTTCTTTGCAATTGTAACTGCATACCCAAAATCAACCCATCTAAAGTAGATCCTGTATCTTATGTTCCAGTTCCCAGTTTCGTCTAACCAACAGCAGATTCTATATCGTATTTCCAGCTCTCAGACTTCTGTGTGCTTCTGTCATATGAAGTTCTATATACAAGCGATATTGTTAAATCCTTTGTCTGACTCATGCATCAAATACATTGAATCCCGTTTTCTGCATCTAGTTTCCAATACTCTGCTTTCTAACTTTTGTAAAATTATCCACTGTAGCCTCCTTGCGACGGTATACTGTTTCCGACTTCCAGTACAATTTTTGAAACCCTCAGTGTTCTGAGTAAAAACAAAGAAGAAAATATTATACAAATATTGTTTACATCAGCTTTCTTTTTTATCTTTGATTCTTCTATTTTGAAACGCCAAGCCACAAACTGAGTACTATGAAATGGGATCACTCACATCTTGCTTAATATTCATTTGATATTATGATGTGATATCACCTGTTTATAAATACTCTGTGGCTATGCTTATAAATAAGGAGGGCAAGCTGTTGTGATCATGTGATTTGATGTGAACTTAGTGTGATATGATGTGACGTGATGTGACGATCATGTGTTCTATATATTTGCTTCGTTTACTAGACGGTCTTAGCTACGTTGCTATATAAAGCTGAGGTGGAAGCAGGTTTCAAGCGATGTTCACATCATATGGTTTGATGTTGTACGATACTGTGATGTAAGCGATGATCATCTGTTGTATATTTTCTTCGTATACGCTGCATTAGAGCTAGGTTTAAGTGATGATCCCATAGCTGTGCTAAAATGTATGGCTGAAGAGAAAGCTGGTTTTGTGCGATGATCTAATCAAATGATTCGATGTCAATGTGATATCATATGGGGTGAAGTGGTACGATGTAATGTGATGTGATGGTCATGTGTTGCATACACATGTGATAACTATACACGACATCATGTGATCTAATTGTATTGTATCGGTGCAACAATGATGTGAAGTTATATAACTTTGTTGAGCTTTGAATAAGCTTTCTACTAAGAACTTTATGTGCAGAGAACTTTTAACATCGAGAAGATGAAATCGGCTTTAGGTTCGATGCGTTAGGGACGTTGTAATAAATTATATTTCTAATATAATCTTTATTTCTTTTAAGACGTTCTATTTAATGACTGTACTGTCTTAAGATTTAATATATTTAAGAGTACATAGTGCAGCCACTATCATGTTGCAGTTTTATGCCAGCTCAAAATTCCCCTGACGATCCTTTACATTACATATTATTGTTATTATCAATTAATGAAAATAACGAAATGTTCGTGCTTTGTGAATTCCCAGTTGAATCACCGAAATTAAAATAGAGAAAATACAAAAAATCCCCTAATGGAAACATTTTATAGAACACAACTATGTACATATGTACAACAATGTGTTTAAGCCGAAGTGGAGTAATTAAGTTTTTTATGCAAAGAGTTACAAGATCGGAGCCTTTTCCTGTAAGGACCAGAAATGTTCTGGTTGCTGACGTTAAGATCGTGCGAAGAGAATTTGCGAAGAGAATAATCTCGAAACTAGTTAATTACAGTGAAAAGACAAGGGAAGACGAACGCAACCGATGGCCTAACAATGACAAAGCTCAAAATCGGAAGCCATGGCACGAGCTCCATCTTCAATTTGTTGTGTGCGTTTTGATGCTTTTCTAATAAAATAGAGTAACCTAGGCTTTATGCTAAGCCGCCTCCGAACGGCTGATGGTTTGTCCAAAGAGGCCTTTCTATCATGTCAGAAATGCACTAGAGGGGTAAACATTTCCTGCCGAATGGCGACCGCAATTAGAGAAATTAATTTAAAGACCCTTCGAATGGCAGTACGCACTGCCAAAGAACGTATATTAATTATATATTATTATACGTATATTAATATACGTTCTTTGGCACTGCTAACCCCTCGACTATGGCAGCCGCCATACTTACCGCCATATCAATGATCAGTGTTTCGAAAGGACGTGAACAATTTGTGTACTTTTCCCCAAAAAAAAAAATTCTGCCGAATGTCGTCGAGCTTAACTTGTAGTGTATGGACGTCGATGGCGCCATTGAGAAGAAAATTATAATGCAAACTTCTGATGCTGCTGCTCTGATGATCTACGATGTGGGTCACGTAGTAGATGTACCTTTCCTTATTCAAATCAACAATTCCGTTCTCGCTGGTAATAGCAGATGAAAGATTAGCGATAGAGCGGCCTACACGAACAATTCAGGTCAATCTGCGTAAAAGAATCGGGAGTGATAGCGTAAGTCGTGCACAAGTCAATCGAGAAGAGATCAGTGCAAGAGGAAAAATAGGATGATCTTCACTGCAAAGGGGCAAAGATCCAGCAGAGAAGGGCCTGACTTCACTTGAGATATTATTGCCAATTAAAAACTCATTTAAAATAGCTTTTTTACAACTTTACGATAAAAGTGTATACAGAAGGCAATATGTTAAAAAAAAAATATTATTATTATTTTTATTGCATTTTTATTGTTTTTCTCAAAGAGGATTAAACCAACGGCAGTCTATTAATAAAATCGATTTATACCAAATTCTACACCCCACATCGGCAAGTTTCTAGCGAAATTTCAATATACAATTTAATCTATGTATACATATGTATATACCTATATGTATGTTTTTATATTTAAATGCAACTTTTCACATTTAGTGCCAACGATCTAACACTTAACTTTTGCATAGAAAATATAAATATATATATATGTGTACATGCTAGTGAAATTGGAAATCAAATTCAATTTAGTATTTACATTTCACTGGAAACCCCATTTTAACTGTAAATTGATTAGAATATGGAGCATTTCAATGAATTAGCTTTAATTGTTTGTTCAAAGGGTTGTGAATCAAATCGGCAACGAACGAGAAGGCAAAACTATGAAATGCAATAAACTGATAAGATGCAACTAGCTGTACACTGAAATGCTATATAGTGTAAATATATGCATACACGTATGTACGGCCATGTTAATTACATCATTTCAACGACATTTGCGTGAGTCTATTTCTTCGAGAATGGCCATTCTGATGAAGGCTAGTCGTAACAAATACTTAGCCGAGGAACGAGGTATGCCTACATCATGTGCAGAGTTTATCGGCATTATGTCTATTTGCTATCCGGACAGCTCATTGGTCACGCAGTTGCTAGGGGTGTCCCTATGTACTGGTAGCCAAACCGCGGACGTTTCGCATATAGACGAGAGAACCTATAAGTCTAAGTTTCGAAAAAAGGAGACAATTTCAACTCTTACCATTTCGTTTATAACAGAAAGCATCTTTTCTTACTTTTTTTTCACCGAAGAAGAAGAGCTTGATATGAATATTTTAATAAATCCATACTTGTATTCAATATTATAGCATCTGCTTAGAAGATAACCTCAAAAATAATTAACAGACATTGCGGAAGCGGTAGCTGAGTGGTTAGCACTGCGTACTCACATACGGAAGACT